GGTGCTTGCTCTGCCTCCCGTCCTGCGGAGGGCCCCAGAGCCCGCCTTCCTCGCCTGCCCCCTCCGTGCACATCAGGGGCTGCAGGGGCCAATGGCAGGGCACTATGTCCAGTGTAGCAGCCCACGCAGGCTGTTTGATGGAGGCTTCGATATGCTCACTCGGGCCTCTGTTCGGCTACCAGGGTTACCTGTGCAGCCGCTGAGGGCAGTGAGAAAGGGAGGGCTGGGGACGCCTACACTGTGCCCTGCGCCTGGGCAAGTCAGAGTCCTGCAAGCCCACCTTGGCCACCCTTGAGCACAGACCAGGCGGTCTTCCCCCACACCTGGCCCGGGCTGCCTGCTCTTAGCAGCTCCCCCTGAGGGGCAAAGGAGCCAGCAGCGTAGGGACAAGCACAGCTTGCTCCCAGCCCTCCTGAGAACAGCTGCCCCTTGAGTCACCAGCAGTGACAGGGCTGAGGACAGTGGCTAAGGGCTAAGGCCCCCCAGCCACTGCGTGGTATGGATGCCCTCTGGATGCCTTCACCACCCAGGGGAAAGCTGTTAGGGGTGTGTGTGTGTGTGTGTGTGTGTGTGTGTGTGTGTGTCCATTCAACTCCCTAATCTCCAGACACCTGCACAAGCAAGTCCGGTTCAGATGTTGTTTGCGTCTGGGGTCGCCTGCATTTGCCTCTTCCTCTACAGAGCTAACTCTGCATTTCTGTGATTTCTCAGGGGTGAGGAAAAGCGTGCTCTAATGGCTTGGAAACAGCCCCTTGCAAGTCTTCTGTGCGTGCCTGAGCTCTGAAGAGACGCTTCCTGCTGAGGACCAGAAGGAACACTGGGAGAAAGCAGGGTAAGCGCGGCGCTTCCACAGAGAGGGGCCTCCGGCCCGCAGTAAGCCTGCCATGGTGTCTGCTGGGGAGGGATGTGGCACCCCTGGGGAGTGGCCTGGGCACAGCAGAGGCCTCCGGACAAGGAGGAGCTCAGCGTGACATGGGCTGAACACGAGAGGCCCTTCTTTGCCCTGCCTCCTGGGCCTTCAGGAGCGAGTCCCCAGGACTCCTGTGTGGCCCTGGGGAGGGACAGCACCCTCGATAAACGAGGTGAGATTTGCTAGCATCGGATCACTCCAAGGTGGATGTGAGCTGGTTTAGAGGAGGCTGCGACAGGGGGTCACTATGAGCCCCAGCTGCACAGCAAGGTCCTGTACCAAATAAATAAATAAAATTTTTTTAAATTAAGAAGTACAAAGAAAAAAGGCCCTCTTTGCCCAGGTGGGGCTGTGAAGGAGGGTCTGCCCCTATTGCTGACTGGACCCTGGGGGCCGCACAGATGGCCCAGCCAGGTCATTGTGAGCATAGTGCAGTGCAGGCCGTTCCTAACCCCGCACACGGTTCACCTGGAAGGGGCTGACAGAACCTAGCTCTGCAGACTGCCCAGGTCCACTTGGGCCATAGCCGCGGCCACCGCCACCTTAATCACGAGGTGTGATTCTCGCCTACTGCGGCTTTCGGCCTCCTCTCCCCACTGTGTTCAGCCTCCCTAGGTAGTGTCCTCTTGCACAGGTGGCTCCCATCTAAAAGCACCATCTGTACCCCTTTCCTGAAAGGGCCTGTGAGCTCCCAGCCTGTGACCATTCTCCATAGCAATCAGTACAATGAGGCAAAAAGAACCAGCGCCTGAGGGCAGAAAGCTCCCAGTCCAGTTTGGCCTTAACATCAGAGCTGGGGAAAATCGGCTCCCTCGCTTCCCCACAGCAAGAGGGGTGTAACACCTTCTTCTACCAAAGGAAGTGCCAGGTAGATGGTCGGACACACTGCGCTTGTGTGTTCTGAGGCGCAAGGGACTCTCTTCTCCCCTTTTTCCTCCGAACTGCCTTCCCTCAGTGAAAAGAACCTAGACCTTCAGAGAGGGGAGTTTTGCCTCAATTTAGAAACACATGGGCCAGAGCTTGGCTCCAATATCTCTGGCACACCTGAGAATAAACAGGCTGCACTGCACAAAACACTTCCTGGGCCCCTTAAACCCACCTGTGCACCACAGAGCCTGCAGCAGAGGTTGGGACAGGCTTCCCGTGTGCGGAGGACAGCAAGGCAGGAGACCAGGCTTGGTTCTGCTCCTGGCGTTTTCTCATACTGGAGGTCGTGTCACCTCAAGCAAGGTTCTTATTGTGGAATAAATGAAGCAGAAAGAAAACAACAAAAGCGCTTCCTGCGGCGCAGAGGGAGCTGAGGCCCTCTGAACCACCCTCCCGCAGGGTCCATCCCTATGTGCGTGTGTGCACGCGTGCGTGTGTGCCGGTGGCTGGGAGACAGTGCTGAGCACAGCTCGCCCCAACCTCCCTGACTCCTTGGGGCCTTTTCGGACCAGCTGCCCTTCAGGGCCACCACACATGGCCCACACGGCTGGGGCACACGAGGCATGTGGGGAAACTGAGAAGCCAGGTGCTGCCATGGCCGCTGGCCCCACTCTGCCCTGGCCCACCTGGGGAGCCCAGTGAGCTCATGTCTGCAGAAACCTCACGCTCAAAACCAGGCCAGTGAGACAGCCTGGAAGCCAGGTACAGGTGAGAGGTGATGGCTGTCTCCTCAGGAACGCACTGCCAATTAAAACTGCCTTGCAGATGGCTGCGGCGGATGCCGGCACCGCTGCCCTGGGCCGGGCTGGCCGGCTGCCAGGCAGAGCTGCTCGACAAGCATCCGCTGCAGGCCGACTCTGCAGCAGCTGGGCATGGTGAGCTGCAGCGCGCTGACAGCCCTGACAGCGAGCAGTCTCGCTGTCCCAGACACGCTCTGGAGCAGTCAGCCAGGGACGCGCAAGGCTCTGCTCTGCTGGGGATACCCATCAACCCATGCCTGCAGCCGCCCTGAAGGCACCTCCAACCCACTTTCTTCTGGGCTCCTCCTCCTCTCCCCCAGGCCACTCAGGCTGCCTCCTATGTCCCACCCCAGGAGCAGCTGCAGAGCCCATCCTAGTGTCCATCTGAACCCCGTTCCTGGGATGGCGTGTGCGGGGCTGCTGAGGGAGGGGACACCTGCATTAGAGGATCAGGTCTCAGCAACACCATTCTCCAGGCACACCACCTGCTGCAAGGCAAGTTCCCAGACAGGAAAGACTAACTTTGGAGCCAGACCTCAGCAGGTCAGGGTCTTCTTCTCTGAAAAGGGAAGTGCCCCAAGGGCTGAAGGTGAAAAGGATTGAAACCTAAGTGGTCTGGTCTACATGGAATGTGGTTAAAGCCCTCAGCTTGTGTTACAATCCAGTCTTGGCTCTCTAGTAGCTCTGTGCATTTGATAGGATTGTATTCCTCTGTCAGGCTCCAAACAAATGGGCTTCTACCATCTTGGGGTGTTGCTTTTCTCCACCAGTGTGAACTCAGCAGGTGGGCAGGCCAGGCCTGCTCAGGCTTGCCACTGCTCAGGGACGAGGCTCCCTTCACTCTCTGCCTCAGGGCCACAGGCTGGCTGCTCTTCTCCAACACCAAATCCAAAGCCCAAGCAGGAAGAGGACGTTCAAAGGCCCAGGCGGTCTCCAGCCTCACTAAGCTTCCCTGGAATCTCTTCTCATTAGCCACAGCAGGGCGCATGGTTATCTGTTTGCAAGAGAAGCTGGGAACATACTTTTAGTTGAGCATTTGCTTTGCTCCTACATTAGATTTGTTTGAATGAGGAACATAAATGGGTATCGAACTGGTATTTGAGGAAGAGCGTGGGGGCCAGCGCTGGAACAAGGACTCTCCTGGTTACTTCAAACTAAAGGCTGGGGGCTGGCACTGGTGGCGGTCGGGCATCAACAGCCTGCTGCAGCCAGGGTTCTCTGCAGGAGGAGGGGGACACCGCCACTAGCCAACAGGGATTCTTGGCAACGTGCAGGCAGAAATCAGCCTTGAGTTCACCTTGAGCCTGCTGTCACCGCCACCGCCTTCCTCCTCTGGGTCCAACAGGACGACGCCAGGACTCACCAGTGGGCTGAGGGTTTCCGCTCAACTCATTCAGAAGTCATGAAATGGCCACGGGTCGCCCTTTCAGTGTTAACAGCCCTGAGCTTTGAGGGCCAGGAGCTACCAGTTCTTCGGGTGCCAGTGGCCTCCCTGCTGTTCAGAGCTGGCAGGTCCTGTAAATCTTGGCTGCTGACACAAAAGGCCCAGTTACTCTCTGGCAGCCGGCCGTCTTCCATGTCACCAGTCCTGGCTAGGGGCCACCATTGGTGCCTGGGGCCCTCGGTGTCACTGGAAAGGGCAGTCATGGACGAAACCCTCACACGCGGTCCAAAGATTTGTTGTTTTGGTTTGTTTTTTTGGTGGTACCGGGGACTGAATTCAGGACCTTGTGCTTGCCAGGCAGGCACTTACGCAACTGAGCTATCTCCCCGGCCCCAAAGGGGTTTTCTCAGCACTCAGTGCAGCCGGACCTGGGGGGACCCCTGCAGGGCGGGCCACCGGGTCACCTGCGTGGGCTCCCAGGGTCCCCTCCTGTCTCGGGCGCTCGGCCTGCCAGGCCTCTCTGCGGCGCCAAGCGAGTCGGCGGCGGCCACGGCAGCGTCTGGCTTTCCGCGGGACTTCACCCGCCGCCGCCCTCTTCTGCGGCCCGCCTGCGCCTCGCCGAGGGCCGGCCCGGGGTGCTGCGTGCGGGGCTGCTCCCCCCACGCCTCCGGCACCGCGTCCCCTGGGCGTCCGGACCTCCGCGGGCCGAGCGCAGACCCGGGGCTCGGGTGCCTGGCGCCCTCGGCGTCCGCGCGGCCGCCAGAGCCAGCGTCGGAA